CCCTAGCAGCACAAATCTGTGGAAGGATCTTGCAGCAACTTAATTGCGACTAAAATAAGGCACATATAAGTTGCCTCAACTGTTTTGCTCCAAATGAGCTGCTTTTGCTCCAAATTTGCTGAGAAGCTTCCTCTTCGCAGAAATTCAGAAAAAAGTTCCCCACCGTAATACATCAGCAAAGTTCATCCAAAATTGTTAAACCGTTAAATTGTTCGAGCAAGAACTTTGTCGGCCGCCGAAGAGCTTACTTCTTCTTCTTCCTCGCATGTCAAGCTTATTGCGTATGGCATATTAGCTTATTGCGTGCTTTCAACTTAGTGTTCTAGATGCACTTCCACAGTTATTAATTAAGACCTTTCGATGCCTGTACGATTTTTGCATTAGTATAATTGTGTGGCAAGTACAATCATACTCTATGCCCAGGGAAGTCGAGAAATGTTCCAACCCGAAAAATTCCTAGACCGGACCGGGAATTGAACCTAGCCACCTCCAGCCTTTACCGACTGAGCTAAGAGAGGTCCCAAGAGCTTACTTCGCTGCAATAAGCAAAGTCCGGTTTACACAAACCGAATTACTGTCCGAGGGCTTGGGTCGCCACAAACCCTTTTGTGTCCAGGAAGCACCAACATTTTTCAAGTGTAGGTCAGTTAAACTCGTCGACCTTTTCACTAAGATCCTACTGAAATGATCCACGAAAAATGACAAAGTCCCTTCATAAATGGACACTTTTAGAAATATTGCACTCGCACTAAGGGCCTGTTCATAAACCACGTAGACAGTTTTTTTGGGATTCTTGACCCCCTCCCTCCCCCTGCGTAGACAATTGTCCATACAAAAAAAATTATAATTTGTATGGGCCGTAGATAGTTGTCAACCCCTTTCCCCCTAAACTGTCTACATAGTTTATGGACAGCCCCTAATTGCATAAATGACAAAGGTCTTTTTAAGCAGGGGACTTGGTGAAATTACTCGCAACGACCGCGATAAGAAAATGAAACTCAGTGTTTATTTCATTCCGTCCCCAACAGATGTTCTTGCCAGAACTTGAGGAAAGTTCATCCCAGAACATGAGGGATGTTATTTCCAGAACTTGTTGGGAGTTCTTTCCAGAACTTGAGGGAGCTTTTTCCCAATACTTGAGGGATGCACTTTTCTGAAGTTATTGCAAGTTCATCCACGAACTCTAGTAGAGTTCTTCCATGAACATTCGAAAATTTCTTCCCATAACTCCAAGAAATTTTATCCTGGAACCTTAGGAAAGTTCGGACAATTTTAGGAAAATTTCTCAAACTTCTAAAATTCTCGTAATTTTAGAGAAATTTTTCAAGCTTAATTGGAGCAACAAGGTCCTAAAAAGTGTTTCCAGAATTTCAACAGAGTTCTCATAAATTCTGTAAACTTTGATGGAGTTTCCAGAATCTCCACGGGCTCGTCACAACTTCTTTGATATTTACAGAAGTTTTAATAACTTGAATAAATTCTGCAAAATTTTTCAGAACAAATGCAAAAATTCGGTGAATTTTAGAATTTTTTTAACAAACTTCTGGAAAATTTTGAAACAAGCAGACATTTTTTATTTATTTATTTATTTAACCACCATTTTTGACATTTTAGCCATACAGACTGATTAAAGTGACTTAATCCTATTCTTAAAAACTGGTCAACTTATATTAAAATCAAAAACATCGCACACATCATTCAACAGTCTGCAACATCTATCGAGAGGATTGTTAAAACCGTAAGCAGTGCGATGTCCGGGAGTCCACAGAAAGTAATAGTTGCGGAGACGGCGAGCTGAAGTGTGGAAATTGATGTTCCCGAGCAAACAACTGCAGTCAATATGATTACTAATCATGTCAAATATGAACATCCTCTGGAGAAAGACTCAGCGATTTGTTAGTGTTTGCAGTCCAATAAGCGTATATCTATGCTCGTTCGGAGGGAAGCTATCTGGATTTGTCCATGGCAGACGTCGTAATGCAAACTTTATAAATTGTTTCTGGATTCTCTCGATGCGCAGTACATGAACAGCATGATATGGAGCCCAAATTTGTACTCCATATTCAAGAACACTGCGGACCACAGAGCAGTACAGCGCTTTCAGAGCGTACCCGTTGTCGAATTGTGCAGAATTGCGGCGCAAAAATCCTAGCATAGAGTTGGCCTTTGCAACTGTAATGGATATGTGCTCGTTAAACCGTAGTTTGCTGTCCAAGATGAGCCCAAGATCCTTAATGTCATTAACCCTTTCCAGCGGCGATTGATTCATAGAGTAATCAAAAATGATCGGAGAGTGAGAGCGGGTAAGGATAATCACTTTGCATTTGGCAGCATTGGCTTGCATTCCATTCATCTGACACCAGGATGACAATCGCTCTATATCAGATTGTAGTGCCCAACAATACACGATCGATTTGATCACACGGTACAGCTTAAGATCATCCGCATATAGCAACTTACAGGAACTTAGCATATCACACACGTCGTTAATAAATAGAACGAAAATGAGAGGTCCAAGGTGACACCCTTGTGGAACCCCCGATGGAATATGGAATACCTCGAATCTGGAATCATGTACCTTAACGAAAGCCTTCCTGGATGATAAGTATGATTTCAACCAACAAACGATCCACGGTGGAAGACCAAGGCGGTTTAGCTTCATAATGGCTAGGTCGTGAGGGGCTTTGTCAAAAGCCTTAGAGAAGTCGATGTAAACGGAGTCCACTTGCTGACGCTTCTCGATGCTGCCTATAAGAGTGTTCGTTTAAGTCATCAAGTTAGAGACTGTCGAGCGCTTTTTCATGAATCCATACTAAAACTCTGAGATTATGGGTTGAACAGCTGGATACAACTTCTCATGCAGAAGACTTTCGAGAACTTGGGCCAAGCGGTTCAGGATCGAGATAGGTCGGTAATTTTCCACTTTGTGCATGTTACCGGACTTGAAGATTGGTGTAATTGAGGCGAGCTTCCAGGCATCCGGAAAAACGCCATCCTTAAGCGATCGATTGAAAATAGACATAACGGGAGTGGCCAACGATGCTGCACAGTTCTTGACGAAAGACGGTGGAATACGGTCCGAGCCTTGACCTTTCGATGGATCGACTGAGCAAAGGGCTTTAAAATAGCGTCTTGACTAAAGATGAGCTGCTGTAGGTGAATGTCGTATCTTGGTAGCTGATCAATGTATTGCTGCGGTGGAGGAGTTTGATCGGGTTCGAAAACACTTCGGAAAAAGTCAGCGAAAAGGTCAGCAGAAGCGGTGTCGGTGGAGGAGCTTCTACTACCGTAGGTAAAGTCCACGGGCATACCAGCTGATCTTTTCCGAGAGTTGATAAAAGACCAGAACGACGATGGATTTTCCTTGATACCCCTCTGGAGGTTGTCGACGTACTCACGAAAGCGAGCTTTCTGCAAACTATTATACTCTGCTTCTACTAGCTGCACCGTAAACTTGTTTGCTGCGGTCCGGTTTTTAGGAACTCCAGGAAAATTTGCATGCTTCAGGAAAGTTCAAAGCAAAAAAATAATTTTGATATCACGTCAAAGTGGATGCACTACAATCATGTCGAAAATATGGTGTAATATTACTTGCTAAAAAGGACAAAATTATCATTAATACAATGCATGAACTGACATTACGCTGCTTTTACTGCATTTGTTTATTTATGTGGTCATAAAAATTACATGAAATTTTCGACATGATTGTAGTGCATCCACTTTGATGTGATATCAAAATAATGTTTTTGCTGTGTTCAACAATTTTTTGGAAAGCTCTGAAATCTTTCTGTGACTTCAAATTCTGTTTACAAAAGCTTAAAGGCCTTGACAAATGTTACGCGAGAAGTATTTACATGCCAAAATAAGTGATGAACAAGTGTCACTCACACTATGCCGTGCTCGTTATATGAATTGGCGTTGACGGCAACTCTGTAGCTCTTTACTCCTATGAGAAAATCCATAAGCAAACGTCAGACTTTGCGTGAAACATGGCGGACTTTGTGCTATCCTTTCACTCCACCGAAAATTCCCATAAGAAACTGTCTATATTTGCTAGAAGAGCAAATTTTTCGACGGTTCCGTCAACGCCAATAGTGTGAATAGGGTATATGATATACTATGATAAACTCTACATGGTAAGAAAAAAGTACCCAAACGTAAATTCTTCTCACTCATCTCGGCACTGTAGTGCAGGAACCCAACATTAGGTAAAGCGGGTCAAAGTAGTTTTCATTTACTTGTGTGCATTTCGTATAAAATTTTTCACTCGCTTTCTACCCAATAGTAAGTTAGTTGTACCCAAAAGTAGGTAAATATGATTATACTCATATAGGTAGGTAAAAGTGAACCGGCCGTTGGAAACTTTTTTCTTACCGTGTAGATAGAGGTGGAACTAGGGCGTAACAGCTTTTGTTAAGGCTCGTCAACGCAAATCAAAAACACCATCGGGTAGAGGAAGATTTATCCTACCCGACGGTTATGTAGATTTGCGTGGGCGTGCCTTGACTTCCTAGAAATCGTCGATTGAAGTCATTAGGTCGTATGAATAAAAGCGTTTACTTTACTTTTCCCGTAAGAAAAGCACGGGAAAGTAAAGTAAACTCTTTTTATTCATACGGCCCATTGTTCACAAAAGCTGTTACGCCCTAATTCCAGCTCTATTTAGAACTATAAAAATGATGGTGATGTGGTTAATCAAGGCCTTTATCCGTCATCCGGGATTCAAGGCGTGATTCTTTCTAGAATGGTCTCATAATTTCTCAGCATCCTAGGGAATGCATGTCAGTTGTCATCCAGTTCGATGAACCAAAACATCCACAACTGGGCAATGATGTACTAATACATATATGCTCAAAAGAATAAAATGCATGGCTTTGAAGTGTGGTAAAACCACCGGCATTCGACCTAATCGGTGAAGTCCGTTTAGCAATCATAAAGTATTCGTTGAATGTTTTGATTAGACTAACCATTTCTTTCCCCTCTCCCCCCTCTCATTCCAGTGCTGCTCCTGCTCGTCTCACCAGTGCTCAGTGCTGACTGGACGGCGAGTTGCCCGTCCAGCTGCACCTGCAAGTGGTCCAGTGGCAAGAAGTCGGCCATCTGCAACAATATCTCCATTTCTTCGATTCCTTCGAATCTGTCGGCGGAGCTGCAGGTGCTGGAACTGAACGATAACAACATTGCGTACCTCAACCGGGAAGAGTTCACCAGTCTGGGGTTGGTGAACCTACAGAAAATCTACCTGAAGCACTCCCGGGTGAAGTACGTCAACCGGGAGGCATTCATCAATCTTAAAATTCTGATCGCCGTGGATCTGAGCGAGAATGAAATCGAATCGCTCGACAGGCAAACGTTCGCCGGGAATAATCGGTTGAGGGAAATCATTTTGCACAACAATCCGCTGAAGCAACTTTTGGCGGAACAGTTCCCAGTGCTGCCGTTCCTACGGGAAATCGATCTGCACAGCTGTCAGCTGAGCAGTATAGCCGAGACGGCATTCTCGAATTTGGAACATTTGGAGCTCTTGGATTTGACGCAGAATCGGCTGGAGTATCTACCGCACTACGTGTTTAACCACATGAAGAAGCTTAAGACGTTGGTTCTGGAGGAGAATCCCTGGAACTGCGACTGCCACCTCAGAGAGTTCAGGGGATGGTATTTGAATAATTCTTTGAACCGGAGGAGCTTACAGTGCCATAGACCGTTCAGTTTGAAGGGACTAACGTGGGAATCGGTGGAGACGGATCAATTCGGATGTGTGCCGCACGTGGAGATTTTCCGGGACCATGCGGAAGACATTCAGGAGCTGGGAGTAAACGTCACCTACCAATGTATGGCATATGGGGACCCGGAGCCGACGGCGACTTGGGACCTCAATGGGAAGATTGTGGATCATGAACTGGTGGAGACTGAGCGGGTTACGAAGATCGGGGAGCAGACGATAGTGTGGAGCAATTTGACGATATTGAACATAACGAGCAATGATTCGGGATTCTACATGTGCACTGCCAGCAACAAGATTGGGTTCGATAGCAAGAATTTTAGTTTGATTTTGCCGGAGGTGGTTGAACGAGTGATCACCAAAACACCGGAGACGTTCTGGTACTTTGGACTGATACTGGGGATATTCGGAACGATCTTTGGATTGCTTTCGCTGTCGGTGGTGATCTGTTTGTGTAAGAGGAAGTTTCGCACGCGACGGAGAAAGAAGATTATCAAAAGTAGTGTAAGTTTCAATGACCAAGAGAAGAAGCTGCTCGATTTGAGTATAACGACGAATGAGCGGCAGGAGTTTAGTGCGAGTGATGTGATGACTCCCTCGACGAAGACGGACTCTACGATAGCGATGGAGCCGGTGCAGATCACGATCGAGTCGATAGCAGCCAAGCGGGAAGAATTCCCGCTCAATGTCGGAGTCTTCCCTCCGCCACCGGAGTTCTGCTCCCAGATGGTGCCGAATCCAGCTTATGGTAACATCTTCATTTCCGTGTCGGTAACGCAGGATGCGTTGGACAATCCTGATCTGAACATGTATCCGGACCTGTTGAACATACCGAATCGGTCGAAAGGTAAGCTGATCCCGGTGAACGTGTCCTCGTACGCAACGCTACCTCGCAAGAATCGTCCAGCGTTGACGGCAGCACCCTCCACCAGTAGTCAACCGCCATCGCTAACGGCGGTTCTACCGCCAACCGTTCCACCGCAGCACTCCAACGCGTCGACCAGTGGTGTGGTAGCACCAGTAGAAGCCCTCCAGTTGCAGGATAGCATCGTCAATTACTCCAACATCGAAGAGTCATGCGAGATCACCGGTCTCAGCAGTAATCCGGCTGCCATGTGTCAGGAATGCAGTAAGTTGATCAATTCCTCCGCCAAGATGAACATTCGATTCAGTAAGGCGGATCTGGTCAACAGGTGTGAAAACAGTTTCCCATGCATGAAGTACGACAACATGGGACGAAGGTATACGGCGAGTGGCAACTCCACGCTTTCCCTACCCGAAGAGAACCACCAGGTTGTGCTGGAGCAAGAAAGCATATTCATCAAACAGGAGATCGAACCGATCAAGGAAATCCCGACGCCTCCAATGGTACCGGCAACCCCTACCGGACACAGCCCGGGACCCTCTGGAATGGGTATGGCCGCTGTGTTCGTGACAGGAAACGACTTTGTCTCGCTGTAGTGCCCCTCCCAAATCCACGCGATAGTACAAACTTCCAGATCCCCTCAGAACCCCTTCTCCTTCCCAGCGTATGCATGGATCCTAAGTTGACAGTTCGAAACCGAGTAGGCCCAGACAGACACGTGTCCGAGTGGCCATGCCTAAGTTTGCGGTTAGTTCAGTTTTAGAATACAAGTGAGAGTAAAACAAAAACGAACCACAAAGTGTGATACAACAAAACAGAAATGAATAACGTTACAATTAAGGTTACAACCAATATGCAAAAACCAAGTAGAAGAAGAGCGATGAATCTTTTCTCCTACAGAAAGCATTTAGCCACACTGTAGTCGACAGCAGTACTCGATAGAAGAAACCCACAAAAGCAAGCAACCTAACAGAAACTATAGTCTAATTAAACAGTCAATCAATTAATAAACAAATGAAAATCAAAACAAATTCAAACAACACACCCTTGGTCGCCGAGTCAACGCATGCAAGAATCACCTTCGGAAGCAGTTTTTGATGAGGGGAAACACATGGATCGACACCCATCCAAATTGGCTAAGGCTGCAGCCATTCCTGCATTCCGGTTCATCCAACCGGGTTCAAAGCACTCGTTTGCAGTTCGATGGAACATGTTCCCATCATAGAATTGGTGTTTGCCCATTAGGGTTATGCAAACAACATATTCATACGGTGATGCTGCCAAGCACTTAATGGGACTTCGCAGAGCAAGCTGCAAATTATTTTCACTCAATTTTCGCAAGAGGAAAACTTTTTAACTCTACCTTCTCGCTCTCTCCTTCTGCTTCCTCTCATCAAAACTTGCTTCAACTTTCAGTGTGTGTGTGTGTGTTTGTGTGTTTGTGCGTTTCTTTCTACGGGAGTTGGTGGTGGGTGCTGGAATCTGGCGCGGACAAGGACACAGCATCCTGCTAGGCTGTTAAGCGCAAGCACAAGTTTTACCGCAAAAGTTTATGACTACGCGTATGCACAAAAAAAAGGTATTGTGCAATTTGTGTACAAGGTGTTCTCTTTCCAGGGAAAAACGGATCATTCTTGTGGAAATTTAACCGTTCAGACGAACTTCAAATTGAGTAGAATTTTACGCATTATAAAAACAATCCGGGCACTGAGTAAAGTAGCGTGAACTGAGAAAAACGTAATTCAGAGAAAGATTGAAATTCTATTCGATTTTAAATTACGGCCACCATCGTGTGAATTCAGAACTAAATAGACTTTGTTATCTATAGATAGAGCTGTAATTAGGGCGTGACAGATTTTGTAAACAATGACTTCTCTCGATGATTTCCAGGAATTCAAGGCACGCCTGCTCTATTCTATTTTTTAGAATCTCATCAATAGGCGTCAACATCATGCTGTGACTCACTACAACATTGGCATTGAATTATCATCTCAGCACTGGATAAAACATTCAAGTTAAATGAGTGATACAGTATCCCCCGCTAATCCGACTCTCGTTAATCTGAAATGGAGCTTTTTTTTACAACCCTAAAGGTTGGTAACATTGATTTGTATGGATCAGTTTTACAGAAATCAGCCTTTTTCATCGTCTTGATTCCATTGTTTAACGTCTCTGTTCTGCAATCTAGTGCACATCACCGCCGGATCATCCGCCAGGGATGGGTAGATATCGCACCCATCAACACGTGGGCTGGGTTCAACCGGCTTTACTTCCTACGAAGGAGGACGTGACCAGAGATTTTTTCGCCTCAGAAAAAATCCCAACGGCATCGGCTGGGATTGAACCCAGACACACTAAGGTGAGTAAGCAGTCACGTTTACCACTACAGCACTGGCGCCATCAGAAATCCGCCTTCACATTCACAACCTGGTGAGAGTCTGAATGTTTGGTAGCAGAGCACTCATCCGGTAGTGCAGTCTACACGTCATTCTCCCGTATTGCTATCCACTCTTTGTTTGCAGTTATTGAACATACCAGCGTTGCCAGACTGTCACTTTTCACTTCCATTGTCGATTTCACACAAGCAACAATTCAATTCCCTATCTAATCGTAATGTTGATTTGTGTGGTTGAATTGTTGTTTGTGAGAAATCGACGATGAAACTCAAAAGTGACAGTTACCTTTTGTCGAGGTATACCTGTATACCGATTTATCGGTATTGGTAATGATTTTCGAACTTGATTCCGATGTACAGAAAATACTCCTCGGAATACCATTTTTTTATGAATTTCACTCTCTCTCTCTCTCGAACTCCTGTCACATCAATTCAAGAACAAATAGTTCAAATCTAGTTCAAAATATTCCAAACTTCTTCAGTTACTTTAGAACTCAGAAGTTAGAGCGGCAGCACACAAATCTTCGCAATCGGACGACACAAAGTCACTTTCAATCGAAAATCATCAAATGACGATGAAGCTGTAAACCATCACTTTTAATTGAAGGTAATTCTGTCTACTCTTCGAGCAGATCCCCGTCAACATCAACATAATCACTTTCGATCAGATTTCATGCTGTTTGTTTTGGCTTGACTCGTGTTCATTTCTTCTTTCATTGTCAAATGAACATACTTTTGCATTGAAGCGAAGCTGTTCGATCCAAATTCGCGCTGTCTTTATGACTTTTGTTGAAAACTCGGTTCATTTAAGCGTATGCGCGTAGATCTGTGCACGTGGATGTCAAATTTATCATTGTCGGGTAGTTTGTTTACCCATCAATATGGGCATTTTTGAATCGGGGTAACGTCTAGAGATCGAAAATTGATATTCAACGCCATTTTGAAATCCAAGACGGTGGCTTTCAGTGGGAAATACTATCAAATACCTATCAACAAAGGTATTTTTGGAATCGGGATGATGCCTAGAGGATGAAAATCGATATCCGACGGCGTTTTGAAATCGAAGATGGCTTCGATTTAATAAAAAGTTGAAATACAGTCAAATAGACATCAATATTGATATTATTGTTATCAGTATGAAGTCTACAGATCGAAAATTGATATGCGACGCCATTTAGAAATCCAAGTGGTGGCTTCCGATTTCAGAACAAATGAGAAATATTGTCAAATACCCATCAATATAGGTATTTTTGGAATCGGGATGGCGCATAGAGGCCGGAAATCGATATCCGGCGCTATATTGAAATCCAAGACGGTGACTTCCAATTTGCGGAAAAGTGTAAAATACCCTAAAATATGGTTATTTTCAGAATGGGGATGAGACGTAGATGCCGAAAATTGATGTCACGCCGTCTTTAAATCCAAGATGGCGGCTTTGGTTCAGAAAAACTGTGAAATACTGACAAATACCGATCAATGTGAGTTTTTTTTTTTAATCGTGGTGACACCGTCTAGAAGCCAGAAATCGATGTCCGACGCCATTTTTTAATTCAAGATGGTGGCTTCCGATTTCAGAATAAGTGTCAAATGGCCTGCAAATGGCATCGAATATCGATTTTCAGCATCTACGCGTCGTTGGAATCGGATAGGTGATCCGAAAAATACCCTAATATTAGAGTATTTGACACTTATTATGAAACTTAATGGCCGCCATATTGGATTCCACAATGGCATCGGATATCGATTTTCGGTATCTCCACGTTGTCCCCGTTCCAAAAATACCCATATTGTAGGGTATTTGACACTTTCTGAATCCTGATGGCCATCATATTGGATTCCAACATAGTGTCGGATATCGATTTTTGATATGTACGCGTTGTTCCCGTTCAAGACAGGATTGATTTAAACGAAACACAGCTTGATGATGGTGTCCAAATTTCTTCCCGCAATCAGAAGATCATCGACGTACAGGATGATATAAAGCTCATCATTCTCCTCGTACCTGACGTACAAGCAGTAGTCTCTCTTCGATTGTACGAAACCCAGTTTCTCGATCTGGCTAGTGAACTTCTGATTCCAACACCGTGGTGACTGCTTAAGTCCGTAAAGCGACTTTTGCAGCTTGCACGCCATCCCTGGTGCTGACTTCGTACCGTCTGGAGGACAAATGAAAATTGATTCCTTTAGCTCGCCGTGAAGAAAGGCCGTCTTTACATCCATCTGGTGAAAGAAGAAGCCCTCGTGAACACCAACCGCAAGGATGATTCTAATCGTCGCAAGCTTGGCCACTGGAGCGTACGTCTCTTCGTAGTCCAGTCCAGGTTTCTGCAGAAAACCCTTCGCGACAAGTCGGGCCTTGTACCGTACTATCCGTCCGGCCTCGTCCTCCTTAATCCGGAAAACCCACTTGGTTTTTAATGGCTTCACGTTAGCGGGGCATGGTACCATCTTCCACACCTGATTTTTCTCCATTGACTGCAACTCGTCTTGAATGGCTTGCAGCCACTCGTCTCGGTCTTCCCGAACTAGCACATGCTTGTAGGTTTCAGGAACATCTAATGTGAAGGAAAACGCAGCAGGGGTTGGTTGGAAACCAGTAATATAATCGAGCAACTTACCCGGAAACTTGCGCTCCCGTTCGCTACGCCTTGACGATTCTGCATGAGTTTCGTCACTATTTATTTGCGAAGGGAGCGCAGCGACTGTTGCTTCATCTGATATGTTGTCCTCTGGATCTTGGAGATGTTGTCCATCGTTGTCCAAATCTGATTCTTCATCGGCAGGTTCGTCTTCGGGCTCAGCTGCTTCCCCCTCTTGCTCGTACGAAGGTAAAACGACTAACGGCTTCTTCTCTTTTCTAGGCTCAGAAGCGTACGGGAAACAGGTCTCGTCGAAACGAACGTCACAAGCAATCACTACCTTCCTGCTTTTTCTATTCCATAGGCGGTATCCATTGGTTGCATAGCCGATCATGAGGACTATGACTTTTAGCATCCAACTTTTTTCGGAGTTGCGTAGGGATCCATGCATACGCCTTGCATCCAAAAACACGAAGCTTCGACATGTCCGGCTTGGATCCCATCCAATATTCAGCCGATGTTACTCCTTCCAGCAACGCTGCGGATGGACTGCGGTTGATCAAATACACCGCTGTAAGAGCTGCTTCATTCCACATCTGCTTCGGCATTGACGAATCAAGCAACATGGTCCTCACTTTTTCCACAAGCGTTCTGTTGAAACGCTCAGCCACACCATTTTGTTGAGGCGTGTAAGCGACAGTTGCCTTAACCTGAATACCTTTCTTCTTGTAGCAGGCTTTCTGTGCCGTTGATCCATATTCCCGACCTTGATCCACGGTCAGTTTCGGAATCCGCGTGCCGAAATGAGCGGTTACCAGTGCTTCATACTCCTGGAATTTTTCGAAGACCTCTGACTTCCGTTTCATGAGGTAAATCATAGCAAAGTGCGTTTTGTCGATTTGACCGCATACGTCCGAGTGAATCCGCTCGAGGGGTCACTTTGCTCGGGTTCGTGTTCCATCGAACGGGTCTCGACACTGTTTGCCTTGAGCACAGGCATCGCAGAACCGATTTAGTCCAGGCTTGAAATCCACACCAGTGGTCAGCTCCTTTTGAGCGATTTTGGCCATTCCACCTTGGCCAAGATGTCCTAAGCGACGATGCCAAAGTTCGTTGCGATCCACCTGGCAAACGTTAGCAACTGGATCACTCACCTTAATATCGAGCTCGTATAAGTTCCCCTTCATTGGTGCAGTAGCGATAACATCGCCATCCTTTTTCAGTACAGCTTTATTCTTGAGAAACAGCACTTCGACACCGACGGCCGCAAGTTTCTTAACTGACAACAGGTTTTCGCGGAGATCCGGCACGTAGAGAACATTCCTCACTTTCAGAAACACGCCGTGGTTACTGTAGCCATTGATTTCGCCTTCGTCCTTTGCTACTAGGTTTTCACCATCCTTCGCCACATTGATCACCACCGGGGTCGGGAGTCTTTCAGTCGAGTCGAAAAACGTTTTTACATTGACCAAATGATCACTCGCCCCAGAGTCCAATTTGAAATTAATTGTGTTACCGTTTGATTTTGTTGATTCGTCGCGGCTCACCATAAAGCTAATTGCTTTCTTTCCAATTGCAGCATGCACTTCCTTCTTTGGGTTGGGGCAGTCCTTCTTCATGTGGCCTGGTTTGCCACAGTTGTGGCATTTAACCTTGAATTTGCCACCACGTCTGTCCTGGTAGTGTGCTGCGAAAACCGCTGGTCTGTCCTCAACAGTTTCGCCCATCCGATCAGCACGTTTTTGTTCTTCCGCAAGGAGCCGTTGCTTCACCAAATCCAAGTTCAAGTCTTCTTCCTTGATGTTTTCCAGCGCTGTGACGAGGGGATCGTATGAGTCCGACAAGCTAAGGAATAGCTGAGACACGAGATCTCCATCCTCCAGGTTCGCACCAGCCATTTTGAGTTGCCTCACGAGATCATCGAACGCCAAAAGGTGAGACCGCATCGAAGCTCCCTCCTTCATCCGTAGGCGTCCAAGCTGCTTTCGTAGGAGCGTTTGACTGGCCACAGACTTCTTGGCAAAAACTTCACGCAAGCTTGACCACATCTCTTTCGCGCTGCTTTTGTCCCAGACTACTTCCAGAACATCATCTGCCAAGAATCCTACGATGTAGCTCTTCGTTTTCCGATCATCTTCTTCAAACTTCGCTTTGACTGCTTCCACTGTTGGTACGTTTTCCGTCAATGACCGCAGCACACCAGCTGCATCCAAAAACATCTTGACGCGAAAACTCCAATTCTCGAATCCCGGTCCACCGGAATACTGGGGAATTCCATGCGCAGCTTCCTTCGGGGTGCCCATAACCTCTTGTAGGTATTGCTCGTAGCAGAGAAAGACAGGATTGATTTAAACGAAGTTTATTACTGTAAACACAGCTTGATGGTTGGATTAGAACTAATTAGAACTAGGTGAAAATTCACTATTTATACCCTCCTAGTTGTTTATTGGTTACCATGGAGTCCTTGGTTATATACTTGCTGCCATGGTATCCTTTTGTTATTTACCTAGGTTGTTTATCCATTGCCACGGCAATCTTCAAACAAACGGACCTGGCTTCGGCATATCCTCGGCTACTTTGTTTCACAATTTTG